ATTTTTAACCTAATTGGTATCATGGCTTATTCGTTTTTTACCAAATGTAGCCAGACAACTACTTGAGAAAATGTTTCCTATCTGGTCTACAATTTTGTCCAAATCCTGCTGTATTGTATTGGTGTATTTATTTGTTCAATAGTTTTAATATCATTTAGTATTTTGTCAATATTGGTCAAATCTATGTTTGGTACAAATATATCTTTTTTTTTTTCGCCATCTTCCTAGAGTTTTATATTTTCAGCCTTTTTTGTAGGAACAATTTTTTTTAGATAGTAATCATTTGCTTTCAACTCTAAAACAACAGGGCAGTGAACATCTGAAATTAAAGGGGAACATTTTTCAACCTTTAATTCTGTTACCATTTCTAAAACATTAACTGAACATATGTAATAGTCTATAGTGCTTTTACCCTTGCAAGTTGTTTTAGTATTTAAATAGTCTGTACCTATTCTTCCATTTAATATATTAAAAAGATCATTGTCAGAGCAAAAATCTATAAGCATATTACCATACTCATTTGTATTAATATCTGCAGTATTTCTTTTCATAGGTATATCGCACTTTTCAAATTCATTTTGTATCTTATATGTATCATATAAAAGCTCCTCATTACCATTTAAGGTGCATAAAAACTCATCACAATCAACATAATCTTGTTTTCTGCCTACCCTTGAATTAAAATCTCCAAAAAGCAGTAATTTAGTAGCATTCAATTTTGAAATTTCTGATTGTATTTCAAGGTAAGGGTCAGGATGGGCATATTTTGATCTTATTGGTGGTATGTAAGTAACACCACATGTAAGTTTGTCATTATAAGTTTCTTGATCAAAGTTTACTTCAAACCATAATATAAGCTTACTGCTACTTTCTAAAATTTTCACATGATGCACAATGGTATCTTTCACAAAAAGAGCTATGCTATGCCCCCAGATCTATATCTTGCTATTTTTTCTCTATTATGAAAAATATATTTGAAATCCATCAATTGATATAGTATCATTATCATCTAGCTTACTCTCTTGTATGCCTATAATATCACAATTGTTTAAAAATGAAATAAAATCTGGATTTATGACCTTTGATTTCAAGCCGCATACATTTATGCTAAATATCTTAACGTTTGTTTTTGTATGAATTGTTTGTTAGTCACATTGTCTTCATGTCCATGTATAATTTGGTTGTCCTCTGTGTGCCCCTATTTATCACTTTCTTCATTGTAACTATTGTGTGACATCACTCTTATTTCTAGGTCACTTTCACCACTATCTTCTGATAAAGGTTCTTCTCTTTGTTTTTTGGTTTGTAAGTCATGATCTAGGGGTGATCTCGCATCCCTTTTTCCTGTGTGCTTATTTTGATGTCTATTTTCTGGCATATTGTCTGATAAAGCTTGAAATCTATTTGCTGTTGATATTGGAGTACTGAACTGCAGGTGTCTGTTGCTATTGTAAAACACTTTTTTATTTTGTTGAACATTTTTTGGCTTGTTGTATTGTGTTTGTCGGCTTCTGTTGGGATCATCTTCTGCTTGGTTAGTGTTATGATTGCCATCTGTATTTGTTAGGAAAAATCTTTGTTGTCTATATATAGGCGATCCCTAACTAGTTTGACATTTGACCCTTTGTCTTTGGCAGCTCTCATTTCTGTATATAAGACTTTCCTTCTGTCTTCTTTCATTTTCGGAAACTGATCTCTGACCGCAAACTTTGTGTTTTTTAAACTTGGTGCTGAGTATTTTATGAGGTCATTTTGCTTTAAATCTTTAAACTTGGCAATAATAGGTCTGGGTTTTATTTGGTCAGCCTTTCTTCTAACTAATCGATGTACTTTTTGAAATAGTATCTCTTCATCTATTGCCATGTATTTGCTTATGAATGATTTCAGTATGTCTTGAGTATTTTCATATTCACCTGGACCTAAATTTGTTTCTTCAAAGCCAAAAAAATCAAATTATTTTCCGTACTTCTACATTGGATGTCTAGGATGGTTTCTTCTTGCTCATCTTGTTTTTGCTTTAAATTTTCATTTGCTATGTTCATTTTTCTAACTTCATCTCTTAAGCTTTCAATACATTTATTTTCTTCAAATTTTTGATCTACCACTGCACTGAATGTTTCTCTTGTATGCTCAAGATTTGCTTCAATATATTTCATATTTTCTTTGAGTGTGCCAGAATATTTGTCAACACTTGTAATCCTCTCTTCTATTGTACTAATTGTGCTCTTCATTTTGGTAAGATCACTTACTTGTTCTTCTACATTTTTTATTCTATGGCTATGATTTGCAAGAGTTTACCCAGTTTGTGTTTTGTTTTGAGAGCTGTATTTCAATATTCATCAATACTGTTTTTATAGTTCACGAGATGAAATAAAATTACATCTTACACAACAAACAAACAAATTTTCTTTTTATTTTATGCTTACAAAAAAGTTTCAACGAAATTTCCTTGAAATGAACTTTATTATATAAAAAATCTGTTTTCCATACTGGTAGCCTCTATTATGTACATGTATAAGCCGAATTTCTCATAAAATACAAGAAGTCTTGGGCTGAAAAATAAGTCTGACAATCAACGTTAAATGGCGATGATATTACTACTACTACTACTATTTTTATAGGATGTTTGACGTCACAGCAATGTGTATTTGAATAACAGTAAGAAAATAAGACAGACATAAAAAATGGTTTCAATTTTACCGAATTTGAGTTTAGGGAGAGAAATCACTTCAACATAAAATGTTACCTAAATATGAGCCCTGTTATGCATTTTCAATTAGATAAAATACTTAATAACTATACAATAGAAGCCCGTCTGACTTGCTCTGCAAAATTTCTCATTAGATGAAAATACATACATTTGTATAATATCATAAAAATTCTATTTTCTTCAGTTGTTAATAAAGCATCAATTCACATTCAATGGTAGGATACTACGTTATCGCGCACCTGCTGAATGCTCCCACTTGGACAATTTTTTCGTCGACTCAAAGGTAAAATACAATTTTATTATAAGAAAACGTGAGAGTATTAAAAAATCATGTAGCGCACCAAAGAATGACTATAGTACTTGCGATAATTGTAAAAAAAGTTAATAGATTTATTGCCTGGTTTAGGCCTGAAAACAGGATAAGTGTTTTTCTCTGAATGCTCCCACTCGGACTTCTCCCAACATCTATGAAATAAGGTTGAAAACCTTCTTTAAAATTATTTTTTACGTACCGGAATATAAACCGAGTTATGTTTACACAGTTTTCTATATTATTTTCAAATATTTCTATTCAAAAGTCAGTTTTTTAAAGGTTTTTTTTTTATAAAAATGGAAAATGCACGATTTCAGAGAAAAAACACTTTTTTCCCCGTTTCAGGCCTAAATCAGACAATGAATCTATAAACTTTTTTTTTTACAATTACCTCAAGTACTGTAGCCATTCTTTGGTGCGCTGCGTGATTTTTTTTAATACTTTTACGTTTTCTTATAATAAAATTGTATTTTACCTTCGAGTCGACGAAAAAATGGTCCAAGTGGGAGCATTTAGCAGGTGCGCGATGACGTAGTATCCTACCATTGAAAATTGCTTGACAAAATCTCTCGTTATTGAATATTATCGTCTTAGTTATATTGAGATCTTTTTTTACCTTCTGTTGTTACCAATGTAATTATAAATCAAAAAACCGTCCGCTGAATGAGAATAATTACATTGGTCACATTTATCTCTATTTGTTTCGAGCATGTTCACCCACCTATTGGACAAATTTTCCGGTCACATATGATGTCGGGCTTACCTCCCCTTTTGCGTAAGGGCAGTCCTAGATTAAACATGATGAATAATAATGATTGCCTATTCATTTACTGTTTTGACATTTATATCGTTAAGGTTTTTGAGGAAAATAAGCATCCTGTAAATACGTATGTGTATATTTTTGTCTACGTTGAATTGAACTTTACTTCAAATCTATGCTATATCGTTTAAGGTATGAACCACCTAATGCATTACCTCCATTTTGAAGAGTATTCAAATAGGCTATAAATACTGTCAACTGCATTGAAATTGAGGGGACATGGGTTCAAGCCAAGTTTTTTCTTTCTTTCTTTCTTTTTAAACATTAATTATGTGTTTCTCGGATCAATCTCGGTAAGAAAAAAGTATTTCATTTTAATTGAAAAATTATATTCTCAGACTGTATTTGTTTGGCTTAATTATGCCAAATTTATTATCAAATACGGCTGACTCGTTTTCTTGTACCTCAATATCATTTTCTTTTCTAGTTCTTCTACCTCTTCCTCTAATTCATCAGTTGGTTTACAGTTATCAAACTTTACTTGATCACTCTGTGATTCTCCTAAATGCACAGCAGGGTTGCCAGTGTTATTTTTTCATTAGAGTTTGAAGCGGACTCTTTTTCCACGACAGTTCGAATTATGTTCAAGTTCCCAGAAGTGTTATCTTCGGAAATGGTCAATATTTCAGATTTATCTGACATTTTTAAACGGTATATAAAACAGATTAAAGTAAAGTTATTCTCACTGACAAAAGATAACAATGTTCTGTATCATATTCGATCTAAAATAAGGAAATACCAGTTTACTTCTTTAAAAATCAAACTGAATTTAAAATAATTGATATGTATTATAAGTAGTTTCAAACTAAAAGTTTCTTGAAAAATTCAATGATCAAACAGTCAAAATTGTGCACCTTTATCTTATAATGTAATATTTAAGCGAAAGCTCTTGTTTTTTATTTTAAGTAGAACTATTCTATACCCTTCCGGAAATTCGTAATAACAAACATGCAAAAAGGCAATACAAAATGTATTCTCGTGTGTTTTATCTTTCGCTGCATTCGTGTATTTATCATGTAATATCTTGTACAAGAAGCTTTATTGAAACATATAATTGATTAATACTGTCTCAATTATGGTGGCCAATACAACGTACTAACTTAGTATAAAATGTTCAGTTTTCATCAGTATTTTAAACGTTACACTTTATATTCCAGAATGGCTCAAAACAGCAAAAAAGTAATTATTGTCGGGAAAACTGGTAACGGAAAAAGTTCACTAGGTAATAACCTACTTGGAATGAAATGTTTTAGGGAAGGGCGTGGTTTTAATGCTTCTACAACAACATGCCAACAGGCGAAAAATGGACAATTCGAAATTGTTGATACTCCAGGACTATTCGACACCAATCAGAATCGAAATGTTGCTCGAGAAGCCGAACAAATCCTCGATGCTTTGAAACACTGCCCGGCACCACATGCGTTTTTAATCGTCGTCAAATATGGTAGATTTACGAAAGAAGAAGTTTCTGTTTTGGATGTGTTGGGAATAACATTCGGAGAACAATATTTAGATCATGCCATTGTCGTCGTTACTCATGTTGAAAAAGACGTAACTGATGCTGAATTTAGCGATGCTTGTCGGGAATCACACCATGTGAATGAGTTACTAATACGCTGTGGGCGACGGGTTGTTAGAATCGACAATAAGGATCCGAACAGCGAAGATGTCAACTCTTTACTCCAGTACATAGATCAAGTGTCGAAAGATGGAAAATCCTGCTTCAATAATGATTATCGACGTTGCCATGAGAAAGTGTTAAGAAGTGACCAAGACTTAAATAAGTACGACGGTATGCTTGTACATGAACAGGTGGAACAAATAGCAAAAGAAATCAAAGCAATTATAAAGGAAGAGGTAACAAGCGCAAAGAAGGAGAGGGAAGAAAGAGCGATTATGGAAATGGAAAGAAGAGAGGAACAACAAAAGGAAAAGGGCGATGATGGAAATATAGTGCAAGGATTTTGGTTGGCTATTATTGCAGCTGCTGCATTTGTAGCTAAAAAAATGCAGGAGAAACAGCATCATCATCATCATCATCATCATCATCATCATCATCATCAATTTAAACCATTTACAAACGTATGCAGCTTCTTCTAACATAAAGCTTTACATGAATATAACACAGATAGACCAATTCACTCACTTTGTGCAAAAAGTAATGATAATTTACATAGTATTTATCCTATTTAAAATCATATGATTGTATGTATCACTGAATAGTTATTGTTACATGGATATCACAAAGATTATGGCACATTGAGACCAAGATTCTTTAGTTTCATTTCCATATCACAGAGTTACATCATAAAAACTTTTAAAAGCACTGTTTAAAAAGGTTAACATCAAAATATGAAATAAACACAACCTGAATAAACATAAGTATACCTGGTTAAGCAGGTCTTGTGAAAGATTGTTTCTATAGAATAATTCAATTGTAGGTATTTTTTTCTCTTCAAAACATTTCATTATGGAATAGCGACTGTTGTTAACATAAGAAATAAGTATAATCTGAAACAAGGTTTGAAATGGCAGTGAAAGCAACGAGTAGGCATTAGTGTAAAGGGGCCGGTGGCATGCTTACTCTGAAATTCAACATTTCCGTAGCTGCATTTCAAAGTATTTTAAGGTATGTTCAAAAGAAAGAAAACACTTTTTCGGCATGTTTGGTCAAACATGGTTTCCATCAATATAATCAGTACCCATATATGTTTAATTTTCATTGTATCATAGTTTGGAAACTTTACTTTAAAACTTGTCAGAGTTAAATCGTATACCAATACATGCACAGTGCGTTAACTGGAGTGCATGTATTAGTTACCCACTTTCACTTACTGCCTAAAGCATGCTCGCTTATTTGATCATTACTCATTTTTTCTGGGTTTTCTTATTGTTACGGCATCGAAAGAGATCACGATAGAAAAGTCATATTCAGATACTCGTACATTGGTTACATTGTTCTGGGGTTTAATATTGTGATGACAGGGAACATGTTTTTATTTTTGCCTATGCTACAAAGAGAAAGAACATCAAAACATTCGGCAATCTGATTTATACACGGCTACGCCCCGCCCCATCCCTCAAATCATATACATTGTAGTCTTGTTTTAGTTGCTCTTTCTATTACTTACCTAACAATACATAATCTAAGCTTGAAACTACTATTAGTGACATTTTCGGAATAACGTTGGAGAAATGAAATTTGAGTGAATCAATGAATGTAGTATAATTACCGAACAAAATTATGTAAATTAACACAAACGTGAAAATGTATTCGCATATAGACAAAAAGTATTGTGAAAAGTAGACCATTATGATTAATGTGTCCTTAAAGACAATCGAATTAAACATTTTAATACGAAGCACAATTTACACCTTCAGTAATTCAATTGATGCGGAACCTTCTAGCAATGTCAACAAACGAATTCTGATGAAGTGTCACAATATCAAATATTGCAATCTCAATGAATCATACCCGCGACTTTTAAAGTAATGGGTATGTCTTTTTTAAACTAAGACGAGATTAATTGAACAAGCAAGATATAACGTGAAGAGAAAATCACTTAAATCAAGTTTATCAATGTTCACACAATTGCATTGTCTTATTCTATGATATCACTAATTTTGATGTTTGTCTGTGAGGTTTGGGCTCATTTACCATTACGTTTATTGAGTAATTCGATTGAAAATTTTGTAAAATAACCTTAGATCTCAATAGTCTCACTCCTAATTGTATGTAATTTGGGGAACTGGGTATAAAGCCAATTTCTGATACAAAAGGATTATAGTATAATTTTACTTTGCTATAATTATTTTGTCAAAGAATGAAAAGATATGTAAAATTTTGTATCACACTGTCCTGTCATTCCATGATAATTACATTTTTTTTGTTTTTTTAAACAGGTATCACATAGTTTTAAACATTTTTAGCTTTAACCAGTTTTAAAATGCTATTATTAATAAGTAGAGACTAGATTAGGAGTGATCGTTTTGTACAGGAATGGCACAGTACAGTAGAATATTCACCTAAATGTCTTGTTTATCGCATGTACAAAAGTAGGTTTGAGAATTATTTGAATGTCTTGTATGTTAATTTAAGTAAACTTTTATGCAAATTTAGAACACTGAATCATTATCTGCCAATTGTAAAAGGTCAGCATTTCGCTATTTAGGAACACTTAAGATCATGTTCTTTTTATGATAAAAATATGATTGGTGATGAATCACACTATCTTTTAGAATGTTTATATTACTGATAGCAGAAATGGATATGTTAATAAGTATTATTGGCATCATCCAAATACATTTAAGTTAGAACAACTTATGAATTGTAACAATAAATCAAAATTCACAAGATAAATATTATTTTGTAAAGTTATTATGGATGTTGTCAAATAATTTCTTACTGTTGATATCCTTAAGTATGGACATGTGTTAACCCAGTTCTATGTAAATCAATTCTGGTTTACATGGTTTATCGTCTATTATTTTCACTTTCTGATATCATTGTTATTAGTAGAAAAATACCTTTAATTTGTATTTGTTGTGTGTATGGGTAGGTTGGCAGTCAATCAGGTGTGCATTCTTCTATTTTCGACTGCGAACTGTTAAAGTATTTTTGTTTTGTATTTGTCACTTTCTTTCAACTTTGACAAGTGTGTTTATATTTTTTTTTGTTCACATGTAATAAATGTAATGCATACTATATGCCTAATGAATGAATAAAATATTTCTTTCTTGAAACATTATGCATTCACCTCTTAAATCATATTTAAAAGAGAGAAGTCTTTTTTTATATTTTTTATAACGTAATCAGGTTCATGTCTCTTCTGGTTCCTGAGATAAAGATGGTACTGGACAAAGTGTTACAATGTACACGACCCCCTTATGTTTGGGTGGGTATTTAAGATAGAGGGTCATACATGTATCTTTCTGTTTTGTTTTTTGGTTTTTTTTGTAAATGTCATAACTTTAGTCTAAGTTCTACGATGACACAGTGGTGACATGTGTGTGTGTGTGTGTGTGTGCGTGTGCGTGTGCGTGTGCGTGTGCGTGTGCGTGTGTGTGTGTGTGTGTGTGTGTGTGTTTATGTTTATTTATCTAATGCGTACGAGATACTATGCCGTGGCCACGAGTTACTTAGTTGTGGGCATGAGATAATTACGTCGTTGGCACGAGATAATTTACCAATCAGATTACTTACACTATATATGAACTTTCGTAGTTAACTAGAAATGTGCCATATGACAATGATGCCCCTGCTTCAAATTCCTGTCACAGTTTGTATTCTGTTTTTTATATTTATTATGCTATAATGTTTGTACATGTTGACTATTGACCACATTTGCCATTATACTTTGCTGATGGCCAAACGTAATGTTAATTTGTCGATTTGCCAACTTAGCAAAATGAAATAAAATTGTGGCTAATCGCTACATTGTCATATTGATTACCCACCATAACCTATTAAATAAAAATATAAAGCAAGATCTTTCAAATAAATATTTCTATCTGAAAGAACCTGAATACAGGTTATGTTCAACTTTTATGTTCATTGTAAAACTCCAAAAAAATGTTTTATTCATGTTCCTTTATTTATCACTAGAGCTGTGACAAAATTCAGGTTCCGGAGAAAGAAAACGTAATACAAAAATGTATTTGTGAGACATTCAAAACAAGTTAATAGTGTTAATAAAGAGATGAGATATACAGAACAGATAATGTACGACAGTTTATTAATCTTATGCCTTAACAGATCCAGGGTGAAGTTAAGAATAATTATTATGTACACCTGAAATTATCGTTAAGGTGTAGTTATATTAATTCATTGTTAAATAGCCAATATGGTTGTAAAAGGTATGTTAATGAAAATAAATAATCAACAACTGGTATGCAATAACATTAACATTTTTTATACAAAATTGATTGAGAACATACATGTATGAAGTCATAAACATGTAGTAAAGTTAGGAATCGGCTCATATGATTATGCTAAATTATGTAAATACTATGTAATATTTTGTAATTTAGAGTTATGCCATTGTTCATCTATTTTTAGATATTTTGTTCTGATTAATGAAGATAATTTTGATGTCATATTATTAAAAGGTGCACTTGACAACTAGAAAAGGGAGATCTTTCTTGTTCAGCCAAATAAGAACTAATAATTTTCATCATTTTAACAAATATTCTATTGAGGATTTTCTTTGTTTTTTTTATCATTCACAGTATGAATATTATGTATCTTTGATAATTCTGCATTTCATATAAATAATATTAAAAAAATGTTGAGTTTTGAACATATTTCAGAGAATTACTTTTCTTGGACTACAATTTATTTTCACTAAGTTTCAGGGATATTTATTTATAGAATAAGGAATGAATCATGTATCACTTTTGTTTTAGACATTTTATTTACTTAAATCATCATTATTTGATATTTATTATATTATAAATAAGATAAGTGACATTTTGATAACATACTTGTCATTTTAAGAGTGAAAATTACAGAACACTATTTATAGATTTGACTAATTAAACAAGAATAACCTTTTAAAGACCTTATCAACCAAGTTTGTTCCATTATTGTTAGGCTATTTATGCAAATAATTAGTCAATGTTTTCACTGTTTATTTAATTTTTTATGATTATTGTCAGTTTGTTTTGTATTTGTTTGTTGTAAATACATATTGTTAAATAAAAAATAAACTTAAGTTTCCAAATACATGTATATGTTAATTTATTAATTATGCTAAATCTTACACAACCTATTTGGAGAACAGTCAATTGTGGTCTTTTCTGGTTAGTTGTCGAGATTTACAGCATCTTTTGTAATAGAATTTTGTCAATACTTAGAACATTAACTTAGAAAGAAAATAACATATAGGAAACTTCATGAAAATAGGTAAATACTTTTGGCATTTTGTAAATGAATTAAATTTAATTAGTTTTATTGATATCTTTTGACATTCTTTATCTTTAGCATAAATCTAAGGGCTTGTTGAGATCAGATTTTTGTAACAGGGACTTCGGACTGTTTATATAACAGATAGGTGATTGTTTCCACTGAGATTACAAGACTGTATGTTGAATTATATGAGAAAATACAGTTGAACAGCCTGATTGGTGGACCTGTGAGCCTCCCATACGCCGACTGGTTTCTTCAGCTGAATAACTGCTTTCCCTTATCTCAGTTATTTGTTGTCTTTAAGTAATATTCAAATAACAAGGTCAAATGTAAATAAACTTGAATTCATTTCATAAATGTAGATATAGCTGAAATTATTTCTTTCATCTTATTTTTCTTTATAATCTTTTGTAACTTAGCACTTTACATTAAGGAACAAAACGTAAGTTTAAGTGAACTCATGTCAACTTTAGCAGTTTTTCTTATTTGTCTTAATGTATTTTGCCATTTGTGTTTTATTCTTTGTACGATTTTAGTATCAGTTTCAATTATTTCTATTCAGAATCACATTTTACAAACTTGGTTATCACTTGTTCTAAGTAATTTTGCACTGTTTCATAACATCACTTTTCCAACTTGTATGTAAAGTTGTTTTATTGAATTGTAAAGAGTTGTTTTGTTTACTAAATACATTTCATCAAAACCTCCTGTTGTTTCTTTTCTTCATATAGTTAAAATTACAATGTTCCCCTATTTCCATAAGAGAGTAAGTTTGTTCAACCTGAAACGTTATCTTTCCGGTCAAGTTGACCGATATACATGTATACTAAATTAACCGGTGGTGCGATCCCTGGCAAACAGTATACATATATACCTAAATACTAAGATTATGTTATTATTTAATCTTTAAGAAAAGTAAAAAAAGAAAAAAAGAGATCGCAATTCCGAAAGACAGTCATAAGCAATTTTGACAACGACTTTATAACCCAAAAATAAAAGAGAAAAAACTTATATACTCGAAATAAACTTTATAATTACATTATTCACAAGAAATTTTTTTCAAATATGCTGTCTTATTTTCATTGCTAACAAGGGGTAATTATGACATTAAGACTTCCTTTCTTAAATTCAATTTCAATTCAACAGAATATTTTTGTCGGCATAAACGTAAATGTTCATTGCCAATATAAAAATATATTACGGCGGTACAAATACAAAGAGAAAAGTCTTACTAATTAATTCAGTCAAATTCAGTTGACGATAACAATACAAAAAGATACTATAGATGATTTATAAGATGTATAACAAACATAAAATATATTCTTATTGCACAAACCACGCCTGATTTTTTCGCACCATAGATTTGCTTTGAAATGTATTTTGCAAGTTTACCCGGCTGAAAAGCAGCCGAGTCTTCTAGGATTTTGAAAAGGACGCATGATTTACTGCGGAATGACACGATTTACTTTTCGGGGCGTCAATAAAAACAAAAGTACATAAAAACATTCACATTCATCAGCTTTACACGCAAAGACCAAAATACAATGTATTTGAAATTCTTTTTTGCTTTGTCGCAAAATATTTTTGATTTACATTTCCCTCAAATGGAAAGACAATGTTTTCTTATTTCCGTATACAAACAATGGACTGTGAAACTGTCTGTAATTTATCCGAGATTTAATATTATCGTGGAACCAGGCTAAAATTAAATAATGCGTTAACACGTTTCATCTATAAATAGCAAAGGTAAGTCTGGCGGCAGAGTGTGCTGTCTTCACAATAAATACAAGTAGAGATTTTGATGCTAAAGCATCAAGTCGCCGGATAGAAAAATGATTGTATTATCATAAATATAAGAAAATATAAGTTTAATGGTTCAAGTATAAAAATAAGAGGAACAATGAGTTGAGTAATGTTTGCCACTGAGGCTTGTAAGGCAAGTGCTAT